ATTAAATGGAAAAATTTTACGTGCAGATGGGTTAGTTGCCTTTGACTGAAGTAATGAAATAAAACTTTTTATTAAAACAAAATATTTCTATTCATACAATTGAAAAAAAATGATAAAGTATGAATAATGTTTAAAAAATAATTGATTTCACTGGTTGGATCATAAGTGGAGTCATAAATATTTTTCTAATTAAACTGATGAGAATCTTTTATATATATATATATATATATTGATTTTCGTGAGTTGAAACGGGGGAACATGACCCTATGTTTTTTTATACCTAAATAAAATTATTAGCAAAATTTTTGAAATAAAATGCGAGTTTATAAAATTTTATGTAAGCAAATGAGAAATCTCACTCTCCAATTTAATATCCCCTTGAAAATTCTAGCGTTTACTTTGCCACTGCAAATTGGTCTCCCATTTTCATTTCAAAGGCACCATTTTTCAAATATTAAGGATGTTGATTGTCTGGGAAGCAAAAATAGAAAATAAATAAATATTAAGTAACTAATTAGGCAGTGGATAGTCATTTTGCTAATGATTAAATATTAGCTAATACTATCAATCCCAATTTAGAACAAAATCTCTAGACGCACGAATGCCTAACCATATAGTTTCTGCAATAAATATTAGCTAATACTATTAATCCAAATTTATGAGACACATTGCACGCGTATCTGTTGCGCTTTTGTTCTATTAAAATTTATTATTAAATAGTATATCAATCAAAATATAGAACAAAATCTAATTTTAAGAATTAAATAGTAATTATATTTTGAATAATACTAAGAATCATGATAAATAATATGGAATAAAATAACAGTCCAGCTTCACCTAACTAAATATTATTACCATATCCTTATGTTATCTCAATGATTGGATTTTTTTTTTTCAGACACGCAGTATAATTTGACTAGTAGTACTATTTCTGAAAAGAAATGTGAAATGCAATTAATCTATTTCGATTTGAATTTAGTTAAATTAATTATTATTCAAATCTAATCAACTCTAGAAGTTTAAGATTATTTTAAAGAAATGCCAAACATATGCAACAAAAAAAAAAAAAAAAAAAAAAATCTATTTCCGGATTTGAAGCTTAGTTAAATTAATTATTATTCAAAATCTATCAACTCTAGAAGTTTTAAGATTAGTTTTAAAGAATATTGCAAACATAATTTGGCAAGCAAAAAAAAAAAAAAAAAAAAATCTCTCAATCGTCAACTTCAATTGGTCTTACTTTGACTTGTTTTTTGTTACCTCTCTTCAAAATCCAACTTTTCACATTGTTAAATGAGAGTGCAATCATTCAAAAGATTAAATTGTAATTGCAATAACATATAAAATTAAAATACTCTTACTTTTTAGACCTCCAAAAATTATATATTATTTTAAAGGAATGCCAACTTTTTTTTAAAGGAAAAACATATTTGTTTGTTTTAGATTAAATTTTTTATTTTTCGTTTTTTCCTTAAAAAATAAACAAAAAATTTGTTTACTTTTTTTCTTTAACTTTTAGAAAACTGTTTTTTAAAATAAAAAAAATTGTAAAATTACAAAATAATAGTTTCTGTAATTGTGCTTTCTATTTTTATTATACATTCTTCCTTTTTTATTATTTTTTATAAGATTTGTTCCCATAACGTTGTATTATTATTATTATTATTATTATTATTATTATTATTATTGTTATTTTCTCTATCTAAATGTCATTTATTTATCCAAAATATATAAGCGTTAGTTTATTATCTCTATTAAAATTTTATGTTTTTTTTTCATCTCTTATCTATTTAGTATTATTTTTATATTTATTATTATTTTCTCTATCAATATAAATCTAATGTCATTTAGTATTATTTATTATTTATTAATTATTTTTCTCTAATCAATATAATTTTTATATTTATTATTATTTTCTCTATCAATATAAATCTAATGTCATTTAGTATTATTTATTTATTATAATACTTGGATATTATATTTTTATTTAACTGACTATATAGATAATAATTAATAGTTAATTTAACTTTGAATTTAAAAATTAAAAGTGTGAAATATTTTAATTTTTTTGTCCTAGATTTTATATTTTTAGATTTTTTATTATTAACTAAAATCTTTAACAGCTTAATAAGGAAGAGATTTGATAATTGAAAAAATTTTTCACATAATGAACTAAAAGAAAAGAAAAAAGAATTTTAGGGAAAAAAAGCAATTCTAAGAAATAAGTAACAAAAACTGAAAATAACTTTATAATTTTAATAAATAAAAAGTTAAAAACAAATATCTGCAACAAATGGAACCTAAATTCATCAGATTATTCATTTGGTCATCATCCATTCGTCATACTTTGCCTTTTTTTTTTTCAATAAATAAATCAACACGTATTGATAAGATAAATATAAAAAAAATAATAATAAAATGTTTTTACAAAATGAGATATTGATTTTTCAAGTTCAAAATTTATGTTAGGAAAATGGTTTTTATCAAACAATTTGCATTTTTAATTTAAAATTAGAAATTATTCCTTAATTATTGTCAAATGAAATACTCCATGTCTTTGTCGAACTAAATGTATGACTTATCAAAAAGGAATCTGAACTGCATCTTCTTTTCTTTGTTGTGCATAAAATTCTCATCCACGAGTAAGTTGACTTGCTTCTGTTAATTATTGGTGCACATTCATATTCTTTTTTTTTTTTTTTTTTTTTTTTTTTTTTTTTTTTTTTTTTTTTTTTTTTTTTTCAAATTTTATTCTCTAAAACTAGCTGATCATCTTCTTTTGATGAACGGTAGTTCCTTTTCAATTCTTTTAACAATTTTCATATGTATTTATTTATAATAAATTTTAAATTTAATCTGTCAAGTAATTTGTATTTATTTATATTATTAAAATATTATCAATGCGTAGGATGGAATGACAAAAGCTTATTTTTTCTTAAACATATAGTTTCTATTCAAAAAATATTATTAAACTTTATTAATCAAAATAACTATAAAAATAATTTGAAGCCGAAATTGTAAAAGCTATAAAAAAAAAGTGTGACTAGTGAAAGGGAGTCTTTGTTTACTTTCTTTTCTATGTATGTGGTGCATATAATTCTCATCCTGTCATCCATGGTATTTGACTTGCTTGTATTAAATATTAATTATTGCATCACACTATTGTCAGAGCTACTTCGGAAGAAAAAAAAAAAAAAAAATGCATAACATATTGTTCAGAGCTACTTTCGGAAGAAAAAAAAAAAAATCCAAAGCTTTCTAGATGGCAATTCTAAACTTTTATAAAAAAAAAAAAAAAAAAATCCAAAGCTTCTAGATGCATTCTAACTTTTATAAGAGAAAAGAGAAAAAAGGTGGGACCGGGACGAATATTTTAAAGTATCGAATCTGCTGTAATATACAGCTATGTATAAGTTACGATCAAAATAATAATCTTTAATAGTGTTTTCTTATTTAAAGTTTTCTTATCTATAGAAAAAAAACAAAGATATATACACCCCTCAATGTAGGTGTTGATTCAATCTCAAACTTTCGCTTCGTTGTCTATTCTTCCAACTCATTCTCGGATAGCTATTTGGGATCATTATGCATTTGTTGCTCTCCATTTTCTTAGGTCAACCACTCACTATGACCTGATTAACGGCGGAACTATAAATATTTTTCAGTAGAGTTATTTATTTAATTTGAATTTTAATGGGTCAATTTGATTAAAAATTTTAAAATTTTTTTACTTAATACTATAATTGTTTTAATTTTTTTTATCAATTTAACTCTGTTTTATAAATTTTTAAAAGTTAAGTGAGTCAACTGACCCCACGACGCATGATTTGGCTCCGCCCCTAACCCTGGCCATTCTTATGAGAGGGCTCCATGTAGGGACCCTATGCTTATAATATGGAGAGGCAGCCAACCAAGAAAACAACAACTGTGATATATATAAAGCCCAGGAGTTGGAAGCCCATAGCCCAATGTCCAACAAACATAGTGTTCATACATACGCGCATGGGTTATGCATTGTCTCACCCTCAATTTTATAGGAAAAAATTTTATTTAGACCGGATCCATGACTCTACTCATGGAATAAATCAATGAGAATATGATTTTTTTTTAATTAAAATGAGAGTATTTTTTACCATGCATTTAGAAAAAAATGATAAAATCGAAACAATTTTTAATCTTTACTATCACTAGTTCGGTCCATAAGGGTGGCTCTGGACCTGGTCTAGACAAGTAATTTTTTTAATGTTATATGTCTTAGCAATTTTACTCTATCTTTACCTTTATGTCTATAAAACTTAAATTGCAAACAACAAAAAAAAAAACATTAATATGGGGTTCATTATTAACCTTAGATTAATCATTAGAACTCTTCATTTATGCAAATTTATTAAGTTTAATTGTTCTCTTGTGCAAATAATGGGGTTATTTATTAATTAGATTAATATTAGGAAACTCTTCATTTATGCAAATTTTATTAAGTTTAATTGTTCTCATCTTGTGCCAATATATTATATAGAGTATAAGTAGTTAGTATGTAGACTATATAATTATATATTTAATTGATTATAATTATATTTTTTATATTTTTTTTTTTGGAAAAATTATTAACAATTTTTAATAGTTTATGAGTCAAACAATTTCATTGTAGTTGAATTTTTTTCAAGTTTTGTTTCTTAGATTTATAATTGTTTCCAATTTTACATCAAAGTCAAACAACAATAACCATTAGTTTATGTTTACAAAGTACTCTGTTTTTTTAAAAGCATATGTGTATCAAATAATGCATTTTTATTTATTGTCACGACCCGTTTCCGTGGGCCGGACCGGCACTAGGGCCTAGGTAAGCTTAAGGCTCCCGAGGCCCGTAGTAAGCCTAAATTATTCAATCTAAGCGCCTAAATTATTCAGATCTGTGCTAGCATGGATAGTCTCGGCTCATTTCCAAAAAACAGTAAGCCCATAATGACTTAAGATATAAGTTTTTTATAAATTTTCAACCCTATACAATCCGGCCCAATTTTAATTATCTCCAATAAAATTTAGTTTGGGCCTAGTCATTATCAATCACGTTCATAATATGGGCATACTGATTTTCCTGTGTCTAATAATACAATCAACCGTTTATAAAACAACGCATACGGCAAGGCCCAATTGGAAATACACAACCCTATAACTGCGGAGTTCAATAACATTCTGATAATAGAATAATGTATACATCCAAAATTAAATAACAGAAATATTAAGTTTACATTTATAACTCTGCGGAGAAGATTACAGAGCTTCAGTTGAATCCGCTGCTTCCTAGTACCTGAGAGGTTTATTGGGGGGTGAGTTTTGCAACTCAGTGAATAATAATAAATAATACAATCAAATAATACACACCAACATACAATCAAGCCAAAAATGGCACCTGTATACTGAATGAACACACAACAGTCAATCAATATGGCAATCACATCAGCTACCCACAAAACATATCACCTTCAAAAATAATAACATGCCACGTGGAAATTAGTCAGGTGGAAGTCAGCCGAGAACGATGAGGGACGTCCTCTCACATGGCTCATCCTCTTCACATGTGACACGCATGGGAGCCGATTTCCCCCTATAAACTGGCCGACCGGTCTAATCCTCAACTTGACAGCCTCTCTCATTGTTTTTTTCCCATTCATCTTTTCTTTCCATACCAACAGGAGGCAAACCCGTCGGTCATCGTCTCCATCAAATCTAGATCTTCAAGCGCTCACAACAGGAGGCCACCCTGTGGGCTGCGATCAGATCTAGATTATCGGGTGCGCCCAATAAAGAAGCCAACTTGTAATTTTTCATATCACACAAATCATAGCGATAGGTGCACACGGGGGCACCGATCTCCCGTTTACCGGGCCAAATTTCATATTATATTCAGGATCCATATCACATTTACCATTCTCCCAAACCCATGGTGACCCACTTCATCCCAATTCCACACAAACAAATCACAGCATAGCCACAACACAAATAATCAGACAATTCATTCATCATAAACACCAATTTCATCCAAATGCACAATTATATATAAGTATAATTATAGTGATCGTAACATATATATATATGATAAAATACTTATAATGTATGTAATATGTAAATAAAAATATTAAGTGTTTATAAATAAATGAATATGCAAATGCAAGTGTTGATATGCATTAATTTATTATACTCACATGTGAGGAGAGTGAAATTCTAGTTTGATGCTGTGTCCTAGAGGAGCACTAGATGGACCCGGGCAATTACTAAAGCAAAAGTAAGAATGACACAAAAAAGAAATAAAACTCTATCAGACAAAATATTAATATTTCTTTACCCTTCTAATATTTTTATTTTATATTCTAAATTTTTCTACGTAATTTAATCTCGATATTTAATTTCTTTTTTGTAATAAATTTTTTTATTTCTCTAACTTTATTTCATTTATTTTCTTTTGAAATCTATTTTATTTCCTACTGAAATCTATTTTAATTTCTATCGAAATTTATTTTATTTTTCTACCGAAAGTTATTTTGTTTTCTACCGAAATTATTTTATTTTCTGCCGAAATTTCGGCAGCATCTCCCCTAAAAATTGAACTATCTACCTGTTAAAATATCAACAATATACCAATAATTTCAAACCACACAGCCCATCCATCGGGCAATCATTCAATTCAATTTTTTCCCATCCTCCATCCATCCGAATAAAACAATATCAACATTACTTTCAACTCTAATTTTCTCATTTTCATTCCCACTCTTAAATTCCATAAATTTTATTATTACCAAAATTTCCTAATAAATTATTTAATACTGAATTTAATTTTAGCTAACTATTATTTTTATTAATCAATAGTTACTTCACATTAATTAATCAATAACTATTTTGAATTAATTTTATCTAACGAAATTTTAACTAACTATAATCAATAACTATTTTGAATTCATTTTAACTAACTAAATAACTAAAATTACTAACTAAATATTTTATTAATCAATAAATTAATATAACTACGCAAAATAACTAAATTTAAATGAACTAAATTAATTTTTACCCCAAATTTATTAATTTCTGTCGCAAATTGTAGATCGGACTTGCACGCGTGCTGGATCTAAACTGCGCGCACTGGGACTGCAAGCAGGTGGCTGGAGTCGTGCTGGAGTAGCTAGACCACCTGAGACGGCGCGATCTGGCCGAGGATGAAGCGCTGCTGCAGGCGGAACTGCTGGCTGTGGCGCGCAGAGGAGCGGTGAGGCGGTGCTGCGCGCGATGGAGACGGTGCGACTGGCTGTGGATCGCGCCTCTGCTGTTGCTGGCTAAGGTCGACGCAGGCGCAGTCCAGTCACAGCAAGAAAGAAGAAGACGAGCGAGAAGGCGAAAGGGGAAAGAAAAAAGAAAGAAAAGAAAGAAGAAGAAAAGAAGGAAGAAGAAGGAAAGGAGAGGCCGCTGCTGTGATGGTGTAGGAGAGTAGAGAGATGCAGCGCTAGAAAAAAAAAGAAAGGGAATTTTCTAGATGGTTTGGGTCGAACCGGTTCGATTCGGTTCGATTCGACCCAAATCTTTGATTTTCATTGGTTTTCGGCTTTTTAATCGGTTTTCGGTTCGGTTTCTCACAGTATTCGCATTAAAATATTGAAATAAATTTTCAGGCAGTCGGTTTATTAAATTTAATTAGAAAATCTTTGAAAATAAAAATTTGGGTTGTTTCAGATATAAATCTCTTACTAAATTAAAGTAATAGTAGTTACAAATTAATTCAGTAATGAAAAAGAAAATAAAAAATAAAAAAATTGTTATTAAAAATCGAAAATCTTTGAAAATAAAAATTCGGATTGTTTCATTTATCAATTAAAAAAATAATATAAAAATATTAAAAATAATAATAAAGATTATCTTATTATTACTCGAGCTCTCTCATCCATATACATGTATTAAATTAATACAAGTTCAAAATCAAGAATAAACCTTATATTAATATATTTTTTGTTTACAATTTAACCCTAATTATAATTTAAAGTGCTATTATAATTGAATGTCAAAATTTGGGATAAAATTGATATAAATATAAAGTTAAAGTAAAATTGCAATAGAATGCAAAATTCAAGGTAAAACAATATATTAGACTTGTATAAATATTTTCCTGTCATTTTCATTTTAGACAAAAGGTAGAAAAATAACAAAGATGAAAGAATCTAAATTTTTAAATATTTTCTTTTTATTTTTTTTATTTCTTAGTTTTTTCCCATTATTTCATAACTAATTAATTAACCAGTTTATCAACATTATTATATATTTTATGTGAATTTGATATTTAGTTAATATGGAATATGCCATGAGATTCTCAAGTGTTGTTGTCTCTAAGATTGCCTCTTAATAAAATGCTATTTTATTTCCACAAAAAAAAAACCACGTGTCAAGTAATGGATAATGCGATTCATATATTAAAAGTCACAAGCGGGTGAGGCCTTCCTACAGCTCATACAACTTTTATCCGTAGGCGATTTGTCTCACTCCGCTTAGGTTTCATTTTATGCTGCCGTTGTACGGACGGCCACCACAAGTGTGAGAGTATAATAAAATTGCCGCCTCTCGCCGCTCAAATCCGCAACTTCCCAAATTTCACTCCTACTTTTACGAGGTAAAGCTTTTTTATTCCTATCTCTCTTTACATTTTGAAGAGCTGGAGTTAGAATTAAATTCTATAGATTAAATTTTACTATTTGCTTGAAATTTTTTGTGAATGACTGGAATTGTTTAATTAGTGGAAATGGAGCGTCAATTAGCATCTTTTTTATAATTTATAATGAAGTTTAGTGCAAAGTGATAATGTTTCTCCTCACTAAAACCCTAAGCAATTAGGATTTTTTTGGGCTTCTCCTTTTTTGTTTGTTGGGTTTCATGGAGTGTTAGTTAGTTAAAGGCATTCACCTTGTTAGTATCCTAGTTAGTATTGTTATGATTATACTGATGCCGCAATCTGTGTGCACCATTTCTAAATTTGCTGGGCCTGGTACATGATTGTGTTGTTCTGCCTGCTTCTTGTGGTGACGAGGGCTTCTGCTTGTTAAGACACATGGAGCAGTTTCTAACATTTACTTGATATTGGTTCATTTTTCATTTTCTAGGTGCAGTTATATGTTCAAAGAGACAGCTTCACTGGCAGCCGGCATTTTATTGATTTTCTTGTACGTTATGCTATCAGCCTAGATTAGTTGCCAATTGTTTTCCATATTTTACTAGGCACGAAAATTTGTTATTACACTTTTTATGTTGGGAAAAATGAGCAGATCTACTCGGCATAAGGAAAAATATGAAAAAAGTAGTGAGATACCGAAAGATCACTACCATGAAGGAACTGCTGCGCGGACAAGGCCTTTAAGCTTTGATGAGATAATGTCGAAAAGGAAAAACAAAAAGAAATTGTTTGAAAATGAGAAAGTTGGAGTTGTAGAAGATATATCAAGAGATGGGAATACTGAAAAATTAAATGATCAGTCTAGAAGGGGTAATTCGCGAAGTAAAGATTCTTCTCATGGTGTCAAGAAGCATTTTCCAGAGGGAGATGCAAAGGCAAGTTTGAAAAAGAAAGAGAAAAACACTTTCATGAAGGATGACTATTCTAAAAGAAATGATAGAGAACTTGGGGATTCAGAAATCAAATTGAAGGCCAAAGTGGATAAAGATCTGAAAGCTAAAGGCAAGTCTGATGAAAAAAACTATGGCAGCAGAAAAAGAGATGAGGGACGTAGCAATAATGTTGAAAATGAAGCTTTAAAGAAACATTCAAGAGATTTCCCAGAAAAGGATAGGCACATGAATGGAACTGTTGGAAAATCTGAACGAGAAAACAAGAGAAAATACCGAAGTGGAGCTGATGAGAAAAATAGAGATAGGTATACTACAAGGAAACATGATTTGGGGAAAGTGCATGATTCAGAAACTTCAGACAGAAAGAATAGGAAGGAATTATCAAAATCCCGTTATGAAGAATTAAACTTGAAAAGAAGGCGATCGAGGAGTAGAGAGCATGTGGACGGAAAGAAACGGTCTATTTCACCCTTCCCAAGGTCACAAAAACATGTGTCTTATTATAGTAGGGAGCATGAAGAGCCAACGTCATCCCTTAAAGGGAGATCTGAACGGCCACATTCTGATACTGACAAGAGCAGAGTTCTGAATAATGGTTCAAGTGGCCACTATAAGAGACATGGTGGTTCCACAAGTGGGCTTGGCGGTTATTCACCAAGGAAGAGAAGAACTGATAATGCTGCCAAGACTCCTTCTCCACCTAAGCGATCACCAGAGAAGAAAAGTGCTAAATGGGACCTGGCACCAGCAGTTGCTGACAACACCTTTTCTGTGTCAATTCCTTCTAATTTTCAACTGTCAAATCAATTAACACCCTCAAATATGCATGAAGCAATCAGTGCAGTTTCTTTTGCTTCAACCATATTGAAGCCTCTTTCGGTTCCGTTCGGTATTTTGTCAACCAATAAGAATGATTCTATTGACTCCGTTCAACTAACACAAGCTACCCGTCCTATGAGGAGGCTGTATGTGGAAAATATACCAGCTTCAGCCTCTGAGAAAGCCGTGATGGAATTTTTGAATAATTTTTTGATTTCTTCGGGTGTTAACCATATCCAAGGAACCCAACCGTGTATTAGCTGCATTGTAAGCTTATAATTTTGATACCTAATTTTCTTCGTATCCTTGTTAAGTGTATGGTTGAAATTTGGGTTTGGCATGTTTTACCAGTTTCTTTGTTGTAACTGCAGATACACAAAGAAAAGGGTCAAGCTCTTGTAGAATTTCTTACACCTGAGGACGCTTCAGCAGCTCTTTCTTTTGACGGCAGGTCCTTCTGTGGTTCCATAATAAAAATCAGACGCCCCAAAGACTTTGTTGAAGCGGCAGTAAGAATAACTATGCTACCACTTATGCTTTTTATTTAATGCCTTATAACTGATTTTTGAAAATTTTCTTTGTCTAACTAATTCATGAAGTGTTACTTTGAGGGATTTGTTTCTGATACTTTCCATTTTAAAGAAACTTTGGAGAATGCTGGGACATTTAGGATTGAATTTCAGGTCGTAAATAATGCATTTTTGTTCACATCAATGATGTATTACTGTTACATATATTTGTTATCGGTTCACTTTGTTTTTGATCCTGGACTATAACTGCTGCATGATATCTTCAACTGCATTACTTTTCTGTTCATCTGATTGTAGACTTATATAAATTATGTGGCTAGCTAGCAAAACTTGTTTGGTGATCATGAAAGCTAAATGGAAGTCAATTTATTCATGTATTTACATATTATTTATTTCACTTTTGAGAAAGAACATACCAATTTCTAAATCTACTTAATGATGAACAAAATGAGTTACCCATGGCTGAATTTAACAGTTCCTGCAGTAAAAAGCCACTGTGAAAACAAAGACTTATCTAATCCAGAAATGTATGGTCTCCATATCTCTCCTGAACCTATTGAGTACAAAAAGTCTAGTACTTCTAATATATATGCAATTGTAGGTTTTTGACTTGAGGAAAGTACCTCTTCATTGATGACTGCTAGTTTGGAAATAATTTCACCTGCAGTACAGAAAGGCATGGCTTACATGTCTCCTGAACCTATTCTCGAGGGCAGAGACAACAATTGGTATTTCTAAAATATATTAAGTTTAGATTCTGGTGAAAATGTAGCTTTCCTGTGGTAACTGCCAAGTCAAGAACTCTAGATTCTTGCCGATTAGCTAGTAGCCTATTGATCAAGGTACATAGTGTTGGAGGTCTTTTTCTTTGGAACCTGTTTGTTTTAGTAAAATGAACCCTAGATTGTTATGCTTGAATTTTTATATATGAATTCAGATCATTTGTCAACTTTAACAATTAACACTAGGAACTGTTGCTGTAGCTTCACAAACTTTACTTCACATGGAATATTCTGTTTGTCTAGTTTCATGAGATTTATTCTGACTGTCATGTTGGAATCTCTTAAATAGGGTGTTTATATTGGGTCTGTCGTAATTCACGTACTGGATGGTGGTGAAGCTGTCTCCTAAATAAGAAGATATCCAGGTGTTAGTGGCAAGTTTGATGTGCATGGAGCTTGCTTCTTGTTCTGGCATTGGTTTTGGGCCACTGATCTAGGCTACTCAAACAGTAACTTTTTCTGATGAAATATGGTGCAATATTTTTTTCCTGATATTTAACTTCCAAAAATGTTCTTGAGATGTATTGGTTTAGGATAGTCTGGTGGCATTATGAATTATCTACTGTCTGAATTTCCTAAGGCCCCAAGGCTATGCTTGACTTCATATTCCAATTTTTCTTTACACTATGTTCTGGCAATAATCTTCTAATATTCACATGTTGTTGCACATTCTTCTTCTTCTTCTTTTTCTTCTACTATTTAACATTTCATGTTTTCCTATTGACTTAAAATTTCCCCCTTTGGTGTGTGGATAGATGCCTTGACTCTTGCATGTAGGTATTTGCTTTTTTCAATTTTTATATACTTGTCTCAACAGAAAAAAAAAAGGAATTAAAAGGGATAATTGAAGAAGCTGATAAGATTTGCAAAAAGGCATATTTTAAGGTTTTTAGTTCCACCAGGATGACATTTCCTTCATGTGAACATAATAATGTTTTTAGATGAATGATGTTGGCATTTTTTTCTAGAACAATTTGGCTCTGAGATGCATGGATGGATACCATCCAAAAGTTGTTATGATACATAATCCTTTTCCAACCATAGTGAAGCTGTAGAACCATAGTAAGTGCATATGCTTTGTGGATATTTTGTTCTTTCCTCATAGAGAAGATAATTTCCTGTAGTTCTCCTCAGAGCGCATGTTTGTGGAAATGCGACAACACTATACACTTCATTTTTTTTTTTTTTTTTTTTTTTTCTGGTTCTAATAGCTGCAATTCTTTTTTCTAATCCTGTTAGCTATTCGTGCGTTTATTTTACTTGTTATTTGGCTTATTTGGATATGTTGGTGTTCGTCAATGTTTTCCACATAATTAGTTCTCTAATATATTATCTTTTCCCTTCTAAGTACGAGGCTGATGAGATGTCAGGTTTTTATTTTGCTATATGACTACTGGTATGTGGGAAGATTCATCATCTCATGAACTTGTTCTTGTGATTATAATGATCAAGTGTCTTCTTTGTCTATACATTCTAAACTGATGGGGACTCATGCCCTTTCATCTCTCATATTTGATGTTTCCATAGATTAGGGTGTTTTGCTTAATCTTTTAGAACTTTTTTGGAGAATGTTTTGCTGAAGTTTGTGTTGTAAATGGAAGCTATTTCTTTTATTCAACTAGTGCTTTCTTCTCTACTCTTCTATACTGCTTTGCATTTTCTGAGGTGTATTGTCGTTATTATTCATGTAGCAGGTTTTCAGACAGTTCTATTTTCATGCAGACTGGTGAACTGGAAAAATCAGTGGCTGCAGTTGATGCAATTAGCTGTATCGTAAACGACACACCTCACAAGGTATGCAACATCATTTTTTAAGATGCTTTTTTGTTGTTCTTCTTTAATTGTATTGTTATTATTATTTAGTATGACTTTCTGAAGATCTATTGGCAATTTTAGCTAAGGATTCATTTTATCAATGCAAGTTTAAGGAATACAATTTCTTGTTGACATCATCATTTGACACTATTATGTACATGAGGAAACTTCCTTTCTTCTAAGTGTCAGATGGTTACATGGTTGAATTAATAAACACATTTTGAGGGTTTGGAGGGAAACTTGTTGCAATGGAGAACCAAAAGTTCATTAATTGCTTTTGTTGGAGAATTAAAGAAAAAAAAGTTGTGGCCGAAATGATGCAATGTTTCTTACGCAAGAAAAAAGAAAAGGAATCAAATGATTATAATAGGTTGGTTGTGGTAAAGGTTAGAGACCTGCCAAAAAGTATTTACTTGATACCATCAGAACTGAAATTTTTGCTATGGAGTTGGTTCTAAAATTCTATATGCTGGCTTGATCCCCATATGCTTCTGATAATCCTAGTGTCCATAACACATCCTTTTCAGAAGAGCAATGAAGTGGCAGCAGAACTTTCTCTCAAGCACTGGTGTGCAAGAAAGAAAGGTTGAAATCCAGATTATAATGTGATTATTTCCTTCCATTGACCATCATTAGTCTTGAAAGAAACTTTCCTTGTTTCTTTTTCACTTTTGTATAAGTTACCCATGTTTTACTAGTTCATTAGATAAATCTGCATGCTGTGGATTTTTATGTTAATCTTGATTATGTTTCAACCTGAGCTTGAACTGCATCCTTCTGTTTGAGTCTTTACAGAAATTTTCCCTTGTCTTTCTATCATATGAATTCATATTGCAGTTATGATTGAACCTAAACTACTTTTTCTCCATCCTTTCTTTTGAAAGTAATTTCTAGAATCACAATCAGGAATTATCTTGTTGAGCTAGCTGTGCATGGTACCTTTGGTCAAATATCATTACTTCTAACATATTTATTGCTATCAACACCTTTCTCCTTCCTAACTAAAAAGGAAAAGGATAAATTTCATCATAGCGTTCACAGTGAGTTTCCTGCTGTAGATTCACTTTGCCTACTTGCTCATCTCCGTACCGTTTAAATGCCCTTTACGTGAGTTGCAACTGCTTGCATAGGCTGTTATGTGTCTTGCTTCGATTGTTGTTGCCATTGTGGCACTTATCCTCTTTTTTTTTTTTCACTTCTCTTTAATTGTTTGTGCAGATATTCATTGGTGGATTTTCGAAGGCTTTTTCTTCTAAAATGGTAACACAACATAAAAACTTGTCATCTTTAGTATATACTATTGCTTCTAGAGGGGCCTTTAGTTTCTTAACCCTTATCTCTCTCTCTCTCTCTCTCTCCTATGAACTCCTTGTATACCCCCTTTGTTCCATTTGTCTTTATTTTCAATTCTGTTTGGATCCTGTCATAATGTGATTTTTTTTTTTTCCTTTTCTATGGTGTTTCCAGATCATGGAGATTGCAAGCGCTTTTGGACCTTTGAAGGCATACCATTTTGAAAACAGTGATGATCTCAGTGAGCCATGTGCTTTTCTAGAGGTAATGGAGGCCAATTGTGTCACTGCTTGGTATTTACTTGGAGAGATGATTCATACTGTTTCCAGGGCATCCCTCTGTGCTGTAGTTTCTATCTTTATATTCAATTCTGACACCCATTCTTTTTCTTCCATTCTGGAGTTTCTAAGAACTTGCATGAAAATGTGTATCAGTATGCAGACCAATCAATCACACTCAAAGCTTGTGCGGGTCTCAATGGTATGAAGTTAGGAGGGCAAGTAGTAACTGCAGTTCAAGCTGTTCCAAATGCACCAGCCTTGGTACTTCATGGTTACAGACTATTTTATATAATTTTTAGTTAAATATTCCATGTACCACATGTGGATTTGCACTGACCTAAGAAACAACACATGCTAGGCAAATAGTGGGAACCCACCGTCCTATGGGATCCCTGAGCAAGCAAAGGCGCTTCTTAAGAAGCCTACAGAAGTTCTAAGGCTTAAAAATGTGGTATGATGTATTACTTGGTCTTAAATTTTTTATCAAATTTTATTACTGTTTTCCTGAACCTGATTTACCCTTTTTATCCTTGTTCTTTTTGGAATATAAACTAGTTTGATCCAGATGCCTTCCCATCATTGTCTCACGTGGAAATTGAGGAAGTACTGGAAGATGTGCGCCTAGAGTGTACAAGGTCTGAGACGCCATTCTTTATATGGGTTTTACCTCCTTTGTAAAACATGGTTTGGATACATGCTAATCTCTCTATACTGCAGGTTTGGCACTGTTAAATCTGTTAATGTTGTCAAGTACAGTGCAGCTCCCATTTCGTCCTCAGTTGCATGTGGAGTTATTGAGGATGTGGATTTGCCTGGATCTCTGCAAAAATTGGTGTGTAATGAAGCATATGCTGAAACAGTTACGATCAAACAAACTGCTGAGCCAAAAATTGTGGAAAGCAATGGTATTGAGGATGATAAACCTGGAGGCAGTGTTATGGAGGATGAGACATGTCATCCAGGCCAATCTGATAGTAATGTGGTTGTTGATAATCAGTCTGCCAATAGTATACCTGATTCTCAAGAACACTTTCAGAAGACATCAAAAGATGAATCAGAATGCTTTGGTGACAAGGTCATTGATAATATTCAAATAAAGGATAGGAACCTGGAAGACCAATTGCCCATCAGAGAAGAATCGGATTTGGAGGAAGTCAGTGGAAAATCAAAGGAACTGCTTGTAGATGATCATGATTATATGATAGGATCAGATGCAATTGAGAAGGGAGACTGTGAGCAACAGAATTGTGATCCTGACCATATTTTTGAGTCAGGCTGTGTTTTTGTAGAGTTTAGAAGAACAGAAGCCTCATGTATGGCTGCACATTGTTTGCATGGACGCCTATTCGATAGCCATACTGTGACAGTGGAGTACGTTCCTCTCGATGTCTACCGCGCCAGGTTTCCAAAATAAGCATATTGATGATGAAACTGAGAGAGAAGCTGGAAGATGACTATTGTTCTATCAGTGGTTGGAAATGACTCATTCTGACATTTTGATTTTTGAAAGCCTTCAACACTGCTCTTATCAGCATTTACCAATATGACATATAGGAAACAATCAGTTCCACTGCTGAAAGAAATTGAGTGGCTGGCGCATGGAATCCGTGAAGGACCTGGATGATCTTGACCCAGTCAGTTGAGTCTTGCTTCTGATACATATATAAGATAATGCTGGAAGAAATGACTTGGGACATACATTTTCTATATCTACGGTCTAATAGAAGAGAGAATCAAACAATTTGTTTTGTTTTTATGTGTTTTTTGTTCGTCCGAACTATGTCCCCCTAGCTTTGAAGCTCTAATTAGTCTCACCTTAACGCCTCGCTAAAATACCTATAAAAAATATTTATCATTACATTAATTTTTTTTTATTTTTAAATACCATATATTTTGGATTTGACGCAATTGAGAATAGACGATTGAAAATTCATTAGGATGATCACAATGAAACTTAAAACTATAAAACTCGTGTAATAAAAATAAAATTAGTTCTAATTTTTGTCTGGAGTTAAACAACTTCTGGCCGCAACAGCTAGATATATTTGTCTCGTTCGGCTTATATATTCAGCTAATAGGATACATTTTTGGTAAGGGGCCCAATATTTAGGTTAATATATTTTTGGTTGCAATCAAATTAACAATCAGAGTGGCGCAGCGGAAGCGTGGTGGGCCCATAACCCACAGGTCCCAGGATCGAAACCTGGCTCTGATAAGAGAAGGCTTCCTATATTTTTAATTTTCTTTTTCATATCCCTTGCAGTTGCTTTCCATCATGGGCTAGTTTTCAATTACGGGCTTCTAGCCCAACCCACCAAGAATTCATCTTCGTTGCTGGTGCCATAAGGAACAAAAATAAGAGGCCTGAAATCAAAATGTACACAGACTCTATTATCACAACCATTCTCTCCTCTGCTTCTTCTAAACACTTTCAGTGGTAATGGCAACATCATCAGGATTATTGTTGTTAGGAAACACTTGCTCCAATATATACTTCCGTAAGACTCAGTTCTCAAAGTTATCCACTTCAAAGACCAGTGATGCGGTTTCTGAATTAGGGTTTGTTACTTCTCAATTGAGCGGCATTAGAATTTCCAATGACCTACCACAGAGGGCAAACCCCTTTTCCTCTCCGGCAATTCAACCTGTCGTCGCCCGTAATCTTCTCTTCCTTGTTGGCTAGTACAGGCTATTTTAATTTCTTCGGTTGATTTGGGTTTTTGGGAAGTTCTCAACTTTCTTCATTTTGTTATATTTTGATTTGTTTTGGTTTTAATAGCTTTGGATGCAAATACTAAAAATACCCTTCTCGGTGGTGTTACCTGCACCAATATGCAGTTATTAATCCAACTATTTAGTAGAAATGTGACTGTGTTCTTGTTTTTTCACAGGTAGAGTGTGTCCATTTACTGGGAAGAAAGCAAACAGGGCAAACAAAGTTTCATTTTCAAACCACAAGACAAAGAAGTTGCAGTTTGTGAATTTGCAGTACAAGAAAGTTTGGTGGGAAGCTGGTAATCGATATGTGAAACTAAGATTATCAACCAAGGCATTGAAGACCATAGAGAAGAATGGACTAGATGCTGTTGCTAAGAAGGCTGGCATCGATCTTAGCAAGAAGTAATAAATAAAAAATGTCCGCAATTTTTAGCTTTTTGTTGCTCTGAATTGTCCTTTTCTCTTGGTACGTTGTGTTATTCTATTAAATTGTGCAATATATCGTTGGTTACGCATCCTGCAAATTTTCTGAACTCTCTCTTCTTTTGTGGCTTTTGAACTTTGTTTTCGCTTTTGGTTAAAATTTGCATTAGTATTGTGCATTTTCTTTTTCTTTTCGGGTATGGAATCAAAATGAACAAGATACAGGTACAACAAAATATATAGTTCCCAGCTTATCAAAAATAAATTTTTTTGATGTAAAAAAGAGGTCTTCATATTCTAAGAGACCAAAACTTTCGCTTTCTGTGCAAACTACTTTCAGCTGGTGATTCAAAAATTAAGCATGAACCTTGCTATCCGAATTGATTCTCGTTAAGTAACAAAAAAAAGTGGAAAAGTCAATCTAGAGGAAATATAAATTTTAAATATCCACTAATTTGGCAATTCAATTAGGAACCCTCTATTTGGTATTATGTTGATGGGACGAGATTTTATAGGATGAAAAAGAATTGTATATAATTCCTCAATAAATCAAAAATGAAAAATTGTAAGTATATACATATTAAATTTCTAAAAATATCATCATCAGTCCTGTAATAATCTCATTTTCCATGTAAGCTCCTGAAATTTATTAATACATGTAAGCTCGAAAGAAACAAAATCAAAACATATAAATAGTATCCCTTCACTAGTACAAGCTGAATTGGGTTAGAGATTACAACAATGGGATCTGACTTTCAGTAAGCAAATCACCATAAGACACTTCCCCTCCATTCTTCCCCTCTTTTTCCGTATCATCCAACAGAACTTCCAGTAGAGGGTTCCTAAGTTGTATTGAATAACCTTTCCAAGGAAACAATTTACAATATACATTTGTACTTAAAACAGACTAAATAACAGTCCAGAGTTATCTGAAGGGTTCAACCGGTTCAGATTCTTCCAGAAAAGCTGCAGCCTCGAAGCACTCAGCTGCCTCATGTGCCGATGCATTGGCATCAGCCTTGTAGAGGAGCCCAAGATTGTACCATGCAGAATGGTTCATTTTGTCAAGTCGAAGAGCATCGGTAAGAAAGCTTCGAATAATTGGCGTCGATTGGCTATAAAGCCGTCGGAGGACATTAGCACTAGATACCAAGCTTGGAATATGAGTGGGGTCAACATCCAATGCTGCCCTAAATGCTTTTAAAGCTTCTTGGTGCAAACCCTTTGCTTCATACAGTAAACCTAACAAAATTACTAAAAAATGAAAATGCTGCAAGATATGTCTTCAAACAAGTTCAAGGGCCAATAATTAAACTTAAAATTTCAAACTGATCGGACAAAGTGATTATTGGTAACCGAAAACCCACATGCAGCAGTGTTTGTGACTCCTTGCATAGGCACAAACAGAAACCAAGGCATGAAATAAATATCTGAGAGCTATCTATTTACCTGCAGTGTGCCATCTTGAAGCAGAATAAGGATTGATAGCCTTGGATTTCGCAAGACAGATTTCAGCATCCCGCCATTGAGACAAACTTGTGTATACTTTGGCTAGATCATGCCATGTTTCTATTTCCAACCTTCTATCATGGTTCCCCCTACTCTGCAAAATAGGACGAAAAAGAGAAAAAGAAGTTAGGGGGGTCCAAAAAATAATTTTACTTAATTATGGATGATAAAACTAGAATATTTTTTTTTAAAAAAAAAAAATTTATATTAAAAATTGATTTTTTTTTTTTTTTTTGGGGGGGGGGGGAATTTATATTAAAAATTGATTTTTTTTTTTTTTTTTTTTGGCGGGGGGGGGGGAAGCGGGCCCCTTGGCATCGGCCTGCGTCCGCGGCTGCCCCTGACAGATGTATTACTATTTTATTTCTCACGAGACTTAATAAGGTATGCAGGGGGGGGGGGGAGCGGCCCCCTTGGCCCTGGCCTGCGTCCGCCGGCTGCCCCTGACAGATGTATACTATTTCTCCCGAGACTTAATTAGGTATGCAGTTTGTTAAATCTACAGTTGTCCTTTTATTTTTCCTTTTCATTGTGAAGTTCAATTCCAGAACAAGCCTAACATGCATGTCAACCTATCTGCAATTCAGCATACCTTCAGTAGCTTCTTCCCACCACCAAAGGTTTTAGTTCGAACTTGGAAAACAGCAAGAAGATTAGTATAGGTCTGTACGGCATTTTTAAACTGGCCCTGTGCAATCTGGAGTTTAGCTTTGGTTCGTAAAAGTTCCCCTTGGTCCCATTTTCCAGTCTGATCTAAAGCAGCATTAATTACCGCCTCGGCATCAACAAACCGTTTTTTAGCTGACAATATTCGGGCCGAAAGAATATAACTTCTAACATTAGATCCAGCCTCCACTTTCAAAAGCTGCTTTGCATAATAAAGTGCAATATCCAACTTCCTCTGCTCAGCATTTTCTAGGCTAAGATGGAAAATAATATGTGGATCTCTTTCTCTCATTACTTTCTCAGAAGTTTCAAGTGCCTTAAGTGCTTCAGACTGCTTCGATGTCCTCTCAGAATCAGAAAGAACTAATCTGGCCTTAGCTGAAAGTAAAAGACCCAGTAGGCAGTTTGCGACACTCACCATCTGACCACATGTCCCATTCAGTTCGCAAAGCGCTTTGGAAGTGTAAGCCAACCCTTCATCAACATATATCATATTCTCAGCACAAACCTTTGAAGCCAGTAATAATTCTAGTATGCAGTCTGGATTTTCTCTATTATTGAACAAATTTCTCAAGAGGTTTAAAGCCACTGTATCCTCACCCTCTCCAAGGTAACAGAGAGCTAAACTGCAATATCTTTCTCTTCTTTCCAGGATTCCTGGAAGCAACTCTTCTATCTGATGCGCCAGTGCCCATGGTTCCCCTGAAACAGACAGGGCAAAGGAAAGGTGATCAAGAATTGATGGGTCCCACCCAATCCTTTTGCAAGCAAATTTTCTTAATAGAATCAATAACAGAAGAACAGCCTCTTCTATATTGTTTCTTGGCACAAAGGATCCTTCCATCTGTGAACGTAGATTTGGAGGGCTTGCATCAGTGCCACTGTACAAAAGAAAAACAGCAAATTCTTTTTCTATCTTGGTTGTGATCTCTGGTTCCAGGTTCCAATGATAGAGAAGTGCTCTTCGGTATGATAAGATAGCTTCCAGGGGAACCCCAGCAAGTTTCCATAGCTCCGGAAGCAATTCAACAGCTTTGTTTAGAATTTCTTGTAGTTTAGAATCTGCAGAAAAATTTTCAGGCATGCCTTCTGGTAATGAAGACTCAACTGTATCCAAAATCACTTTGCATGATTGAGCAGCTTCTGCACAAAGAGGTCAGGAAGTAATGTTAGCCACGATAATGGTAACACCAACAGTGCTACCACAGAAAGCCTTTATTTGTTTCCTTTTGCAACTGTTGTGCAGGCACTCAGGATAACAACACAAATGCACATGTGTACAGACACACAAGTAGAGAAAGAGGGAATTACCCTGGACAAAGTATAATAAAGCAATAAACCATAGAGCCATACATAAACAGTACATAAATAATAATCAAGACCAGCCAACATATGGCACACAAAAGGGCCAGCTTCTAAATCAGTAAGCAAAAGTAATGATGAGATTCATGCTTGTTAACAAATGTCCATGATTCTAAGCACAAGTATACAATCAAGCTTATGACTTTTTTTTTAATGGGTAAGTGGGTGGGTAAATTTCTGATGCCCATGCCCCTGGCGGTCCAAGGTTTGCTATTTTAATCTCTGCTATTTCAAAACTAATCATTTTTTACTCCAATCACAAGCTCTATTAACAAACTCATAAGATATAGATGAAATGACCCAAGGAAAACCCCAATATTTTAGATATGTTAGAATAGAAATTTATGTTATTATATTTTTACTTTAACTATATGTATTAATACATTGTTTATTATTATAGATAATTATTATGACTAAAATTATGATATAAGATTGCCAAACTTTAGAAATCCAATAATATAAAAATGTCAGTCAATTAACTCTCATCACTCAATTTCCCCTGTTGTATCACTTTTCTTTCATTTTGACATTATCTCCCCTTAAGCACTCACAGATAGAAAGGAGAATATCTGACCAATCACAAATATCTTCTGGGACACTGGAACCAACAGAAGACTCTTCATCTAACGGAGCCTTAAGAAGAAACATCTATCCCAACACACAAACATCTTGCTCTTACCTATCCTATTAATTGGAATCCACTCTGTAACTGTAAATAATCAACCAATGTGTTTCGTAACATTATCAAGATGCAGGCAGATTTGAGCATTTTATCTCCTGTTATCATTTAAAAGCCTGTAGTCTGACCATATGTCCACCAAAGTCCAGTGCATCATTGTTTGCTACTGTGACACATCTACAATTAATTGCAGCTCTATGGTATTTTAAGCCATTTTCTCCTCCCATCGAATATTTTTAGTTTAACCAAGATTGGAAACTTTTGGAAGTAGATTCTGTTCCAAAGTTAGAGCTAGCTTCTTTCTGAGTTAGCATACACCAAGAAGGCAAGAAAAATAGCATTCCTCATGTATTTCCAACAGAGGCACATCAGGCCATCAGAGGAAAAGCCTTGGAAATTTTGCCAATACAACTGAAACTGAGCCTAAACCTTTTCAACTAACTAAAGATGATAAAGTAATGCAATAATGGGAAGTGAAAATAAGATGATGAAGATACCAGCAAACCTTCCAAGACCCTGCAGTGATTTTGCTTTGAGTAAAATAGCTTCAAGTAGTAAACTAACAGCATGCAAAGACATTGGAGGGGCAGCATCACTTTGAGAACGGCGTCGATTTTGTTCACACCTTCTAGAAAGGGAGATTTTCATCTTGGAAGTCACAGCAGCAATGTCGATCCCTTCAAACACATGAAGTGCAGCTTCTATATTTCCTTTCTGATACTCAAGCCTTCCCAATAATGCCCTTGCTTCCTATAAAATGAGACGGCACTTTAGCTCCATGACGTTTTTGGAAAGCATTTTGCAACATTAAAACAGCAGAACAAACAATATATAGAATGAGGTATGAAAGAAAGAAACCAATCTTTATTCCATACTTCAACTTTAACAATTTGAATCAAATTGAGGAAGAACTTTCCTCAGTAAATGAAGCTTTCTGTCATTTTCTTTTAAGCAAAGTTTCCAGTCAATTTGATATTCCGCTGGTCATGGTTTTGCCAAAATTAGCATGCACTATTCAGTATCTCTGCAGTACTAAATTTTAAGCAAATTATAGTTGGAATGGTTAGACGCTAATGGCCCATTTTGCGACACATGATTCATCAAGGCAATTCAAATTGTCCAAAGAAGCAAAAAGTACTGACCTCATAGTTGAGGTAGCCACTCTCACGAAGAGATGACTCCGCTTCCTCAATATTGCTGTTATCAAGCTTTGTATCCATATCACCGGCTCGAGAGGAATAGCCACTAGCAGAATAGTCCCTAGTAGCCAAGGACTCAGATGAAGCAACCATGTCATCTACTCTTAACTGCTCTCCTGAACGAATACACTTCATCATCTTCCACAGTCTCCCTCTTATGTCAAATCCCCACTTTTTCATCCAATTTTTAAGTCTCATAATGTTTCATCACAGTTGATGATCTTCTTCTAAGACAGGATCAATAACAGTACATACAAAATTAGAAGTGATTGAGAAACGTAAATAACATGACGTCTATGAATATATTAATTCCATAGTTCTTAGAAGATCGAGAACAAGACGTAAGAACTTCAATCAGTTAACTTTTAAGTTGTAAGAGTAAAGTTCAATAGGTTTATCTACCAAAGAAATAAAATCAACCTTCACAATCAACTAAGAATAAAATTTGAAGAATCAGCTCAAAAACTCCATTTTTGAAATTCTGCCAGAGTACTTAGCAAACTCGGAACATCATAAACTAAGAATTCTATCATCAGGAAAATCCAACAGAAATCTTTCAATTACATTAAATAATCCACCATAATCAACCAATCCGAACATCATCACACTACTAGCTCAACAAAAGGTAATGGGAAACGTAAAAGAAAAGGGAAACTTCAAAACCCAGAAAAAATCCAGCTAAAACCAGATGAAATCGAAACCATAAGCCACATATGAACAAAAGATCATGGTTGGTGAGTACAGTTGAAAGTGAAACAGACCCATTACAGCACAGACAAAAGTAACAGCTGGGATAAAAAAAAGACCTCCAAAAGAAAGTACCTTTCATGGCAAAAAAGCATTGACTGAGCCCACAACACATCAAAACCGCCACAGTGCATCTCCACAACTTAACCAAGAATCCAAAGCTTCAAAAAAAATAGTATCTTTTTCCCTTCTTCTTTCTCTCTTAATTGCTTCTGTCTTTTCAACTCTCCCTGTAGACTTTTATTGTTTATTTAAAAAAAAAAAATTATTTTAGATAAGTAGTTGTTGAATTTGAATCAGTACGAGAGAAGTGAAAAGATGACCCAGTCTCTGTGCAATAAATTATGAAATCTACAGTGTTGTATTCTCCGTGCCAAAAGTGTGGAACAGAAGGAAGACTTATGAAGAGAATAGCAGATCAATATAATATTATTAAATGCATGCTTAATTAATTTAAAATAAATAAATAAATAAATAAATCATATAATCAGAAGAAGCACACATGGTGGAAGATGGGATGCATAAAATGGGACCCATTTTGAAATCTAGTGATCTACCATTGCCATTTGGGTCAAATTCCGGCCCCATAACATAACTACGCTGCTTCTGCCTTTTTACTTTTTAGTCCCTGCTACTGTTATGTTAGATCCCGAAATTTTTTATCAACTTTTTTATAAAATTACATATTTAGATTCCGTTGGGTAAATTTTTTTTTATTATTATTTATTTATTCTATAAAATTATATCTATACTCATATTTTAAACTTGAAAACCGAATTACGAAGCATAACATTCGATGAAATGTTAAAATGGCTAATAACTATAAGAGTATAGTTAATTTTACTATCTCTTCAAAAAAAAAAATAGTTAATTTTACTAAATAAAAAATTTAAATTATCGCTATTAAAAGCATTTTATTTTAATCTCTCTTTTGATGATCGTATGATAAAGAGAAAGACACTGTGTTTCAACTTAAACTCTACGAATTCCAAATTGAAATTTAATTGAAATTTAAGACAATAATAATATGATATGCCCTAATTAATAATTATGTTGCATATTATTCCCACCACAACAAGATAAATTTTTGCTGGATTTTGTACCAATTAATTATATAATAAAATATAATATTTGGATCTATTTGGCTCTCTTGCGAATAAAAATTAAAAAAAAAAAGACTCTACATAGTTAAATTAAGAATATTTTTTATATTATTTTCATATAAATTATAATTATTTAAATATAAAAAATATTTAAAAATAAATTTCGTATAAACCAAACTAAAAAGATTAAAAACATAAGTCAAACCCAAATAAACTTTTAAACAATTATCAAATCATTGAATTTAATCCAATAGCATGATTAGTGAGTTAGCTTGAACTAAGCCCTTATTCATAACTTCTCAATCTCCATTCACTACAAGAAATACTATATTTGAAACCAAAAACTTTTGCTGCCAAATATAAAAATGTTGTCACCATAAGTTTACCACGTAAAATAATTAAGTTCTAAAGGTACAAGAAAAATAATATAATTATCAATATAATAAAAATACATAAATTATTATACAAAAATGGGTATTTTGCGGAAAAATTGAATTATTGCCAAATAATTATCAATAGTATAAATATATAAATTAAAATTTTAATATATTAAAAAATATAAATATATACATGTTCCAAAATTTCATCAATGAAGCATCTCCTCTCCCGACTATTAGTCTTCTTGCAGCAACGTTTTATAATGATGTTTGCATGTCAATCAGCAAACTTGATCATTTTATTATTATAAAATTTTTTTTGTTAATTTGATTGTTTTTTGTAGTGATTTGATCTTGAAAATAAGAAAAGAAACAATGCGAAATTAGCTGATTAAAGACTCAAACTTCAAGCTGACTAGGGTTTTAAAAATAAATGGTACAAACCCAATTATGGAATGAGATTCTTTTTCACATTAAAAACTTTTAAATAGATAATAGATACTTTGATTTTATATATTACAAAATAAATATTTAATTTGATGAATTGAAATGGTTTCAACTTTAAATTTTTGGATACAAACAATATATTGATGGTTCGAAATTAAATTTTTTATTATTCAAATTGAATATGCATTTATTATAAGTTTAAGGGTAGGTGTTGGGATCTCAACCCCTATAATAAATGACGTGAACTTGTACGTTTGGCAGAGCCGGTATCCAAGGACCAAGGTTAGAGGTAAAAAATAATAAAAATATATAAATGACGTGAACCTTGTACGTTTGGCAGAGCCGTATCCAAGGACGAAGGTTTAGAGGTAAAAAATAATAAAATAATATATTATATATATTATAATATATATATATATTATTTTGATTACAATGATAACAAACCTCTGGTGTTTTAGAGAATTCAGAGGTTTCAAAATTAAAAATTCATTCCCCGTATAAATAAGAACACTCACCACATCACACCTAGTTAGTATAAAAATAAAATATTATAAAATGTATTTTATATAAATTATGAATTGAAAAAATTAATTTATATATCTGACATTTAATAAATATTTTATTTTTACTAAATTATCATTTCAATTATTTACTATAAAAATAATTGCATGCTAAACATGGCGGAGTTGATCAATATAAACTGTGAGTGCCTAATTAAAATAGGTCATGTATAATTTTTTTGGTATAAATGTGAAGTAAAACTTAAAGAAATACTAGATAAAACAAATATTAATTTTATTCTAATAATTAATTTTATTTTCTTACCTATTACTATGAGTAAAAGTTCAATTTCTCGAATAAAAAAAAAATTACATTGCAGTAGTTATTGCCCATAAAAGAAAACTGTAATTAGGGATTCAAGTAGCTAATAAAAGATTATTACTGAGAGGATAATTCACGTACAAGTACAAAGAGCTGCATACTATATGATACTAATGTTCTCGTGGTCTATAAATACTGTAAGTCTGCTATTGCATGCATGCAACGTTGAAATTTACTCATTCGTGATGTCCAATTCCACCACCTCCAAAACTCCTCCTCCTCCTCCTCCTCCTCCTCCTCCAATCCCACCCCCAGAGCCGCCTCCTACACCTCCTCCAACTCCCCCACCTTTGCCAAATCCACCACCAAAACCACCTCCAAACCCACCACCTTTTCCAATGCCTCCACCGGTTCCACCACCGCCACCAATTCCTCCTCCACTACCACCTCCTAATCCGCCACCTTTTCCAATGCCTCCACCAGCCCCACCACCGCCACCAATTCCTCCTCCTAATCCACCACCTTTCCCAATGCCTCCACCGGCTCCACCACCAACTCCTCCTCCACTACCACCTCCAAATCCACCACCTTTTCCAATGCCTCCACCCCACGGTTCCACCACAGCTCCACCACCACCACCAACCACCACCTTTTCCAATGCCTCCACCGGTTCCACCACCAGCTCCACCACCACCACCAATTCCTCCTCCACTACCACCTCCTAATCCACCACCTTTTCCAATGCCTCCACCAGCTCCACCACCGCCACCAACTCCTCCTCCACTACCACCTCCTAATCCACCACCTTTTCCAATACCTCCACCAACACCACCACCCTTACCAATTCCACCACCTACTCCTCCGCCTTTCCCAATCCCACCACCAATGCCACCACCTTTTCCAATCCCACCACCAACACCACCACCTTTTCCAATTCCACCACCAATGCCACCACCTTTGCCTATACCACCACCCTTTCCAATTCCACCGCCAATCCCACCCCCCTTTCCAATTCCTCCACCTTTGCCTATGCCACCACCAACTCCCCCACCCTTGCCTATCCCACCGCCAATTCCGCCTCCTTTTCCAATTCCACCACCTAAGCCACCACCCTTGCCTATACCACCTCCAATACCTCCACCTTTACCAATCCCACCACCAACTCCTCCGCCTCCTCCTGCTCCACCACCAGCACCTCCTCCTATCCCTCCACCACTGCCACCACCAAAGCCACCACCTCCACCAGCTCCGCCACCAAAGCCACCACCTCCTCCTCCACCAAATCCACCACCCTTTCCAATGCCTGAGAAGGTCTTCTCATCTTCATTAATATCCTTATTTATAGTCTCCACATCTCTAGCACGCACACTGACTAAAAAAAGATGAACACAAAGCAAAGATAATAAAGCAACAGATAACTCTTTGCAAGATACCATTGTGTTAAGTGCTTTCATGGAACTGAGATTATTGATGACAAACTTGAACACGAAAAGGGTCCTTATAGCCATCTTTGAACTCGCATTAAATTATCTCAACTGCTAACCGTTAGCTGCATTTAATACATGGAAGAAAAACTCTTTGTTTGTATTTTCACGCGTTTGGTATAGCTGTAATATCCCTACTTGCTTCTTTTCAAGAAAAGGGGACTCTAAAGAATGGCTATTACAGATATCCTAACCTTAGCAAATGCACATGTGTGATGAATTGTGTATTGCATGTGCATGTAGCAGTAGCATGTCTGCTTCTTATCTTACTTTTAATTTTCACCACATTTTCGTCTATGGACCACGTTGTTTCATGTTTCATAGGAGGCTTTTTTAATATTTCACAATTTTACGAAGATATAAATACTTGTATAGTACACATAGTTCAGCTTAGGAAATCAAGAAAATATTTTTCATCTTCAAACTAATACTGGTTTTGCACTCCAACTCTATGATTTCTAATTTTGGTACAGTGTAAGTTAGTATAATGGTTATGTAATCATTGCCATAGCCATAGCCTAATGATAGATAATTTTTCTCCAACGGTAAAATACTTAGATAAAATTTTTTCGATGATGAGAATTTTACGTTTGAAATTGGAACAGTGAGTGATGATTTTAGATTTGAAATTATTTACTTTGTAGATAATTTCTTGCAGGTATTTTCCCTATCAACAATTCAATTTTCCTTTTAAAGAAATCATATTAATAATAAAAAATTGAAATTTTCGTGCAAAAAATCTAGATTTTAATCCTAATAACCCACTTCGCGAAAGATCAGTGACAACAGCAAATCAAAGCTGTGTGGAAAAATTAATTTTCTTGCAATCCATTGCCATTCTCACTATAACATCAACAAATTATAAAACAAACGAGAGACAGCAAGCAGCATTCATAAAAAATTATGGCCTTACGTGTATATATATATATGGGTATACACGTAAGGCCTTACCTAGCATGAGGAATATTTTACGTTTTATTGCACTTATAATATTATCAGAATTCATAATTTTAAAAATATAATAAATTCTCATAAAATCTAATCTAAGGTCTCGCACAATTTTTCTTTTTTAAAAAAAGAAATATTTGGATAAACTTATTTACTTGGCCTAAAAATCCCAATTCTCTTTTTTACTTATACATATATTTATAGGATAAACTTATTTACTTTGCGCCTAAAAATCCCCAATCTTTTTTATCTTATACATATATAGTATATATAGGTATAAATATATATATATATGGTGTCAAATTTTCTGAAATGACCCAGCCAAAGAAAAAAAGAAGCCTTCAGCCGTCGACGAAGGCCACAACCCATTTGCCATGTATGCTCGGCTAGATGAAATATTATAATTGCTAGATTCTCAAACATTCTCTCACTTTCAGAGGGCTGAACGTGACCATCCATTTGCAATAACCTTGTAAATTCAAATATTTGGATACACGTACACATTAAGTCCTTACTTAAAATTCTATATATATATATATATATATATATGGGTCAAATTTCTGTGACCCAGCCAAAGAAAAAGAAGCCTTGCAGGTCGACGAAGCAACCCATTGCATGTGCTCGGTAGATGAAATATTTAATTGCTAGATCTCAAAAATTCTCTCACTTTCAGAGGCTGAGTGACATCCATTTCAATACTTGTAAATTCAAATATTTGGATACACGTACACATCTAAGTCCTTACTTAAAATTCTTATTACGTGTCCTCCCAATTAATGACAGTGTAATGTCTGATCAATAACTCAAATACGTGGATTTACAGTATTATTTTAGATAAATTATTGGAAATTGACTTTTCTATATCCGATCTATGGCTGATTTACGGATCAAATTAATGGAAAAAAAAAAGATAAAACATGAATAATTTTTAAAAAATTTATATTTTTATGAATTTAGTTCATAGATGGAGTCATAAATCCGGTTTAAACAAGTCTAATTTAAACTATTGAAATAATAGATGATGTTTAATAATATGAGACAAAGACTTAAACTTGAAATTTTTAATTTTTGCAGTTTAAAATTATTTCATAATATTTATTTTAATATCAATTGAAAATTTTAATTAACATAAAATGATATAAAATTATAAATTAGAACTTTTAATTTAAAATAAAACAAGTTGTTTAATTTGTAAATAATTTTATAATTTAAAATTTTAGATTATTTCATTTTTAACACTTATCTTTAAATTTGATCAACAATTAATTAATCGTATGGAATTATAATCAAATTATCTTATACATACATTTGGGAAGCCATTAGAATTACTAGAACTGTAGAACATGAAAATTGACAAGAAGCGAGATGGATGGCTGCCCGACGTTCACGTACTTCTTTTACACTCATCACTCGTCACATCAAACTTCCATATGCGGAGAACGGATTAAATATTTAAATTTAATATTTAATTTTTTCTGTTTATCACATTTATTTCTTATTTTTTATTAAAAATCAAAAATAAAAAAACTTCACTATCAAAGATTTGAAAAAAAATTCCATTGCCAAAAATTTGTAGGCCAGATGAATTGGGAGCCATGAAAGGGTTGGAGCTGTTTTAGTCAACTTTTGAACAATTGCCATTTATTTGTTAGATATATGTAGGTGATGTCTAATTAATTGGATGGATGAAATAATAAATATTAATTACTGATAAGGTCGGTTGCATTATTTTCGGACCATTAACACCACACATTTTTATAACAAATGTGAAAATGCCAAACATATGATCAAACTTCAAATCAAGGATTTGATTTTTTTTAATATAATTAACAAATTAGTCCCTTAAATTTTGTAATAATTTTAATTTCATTTTCTCTTATTTGCTAAATATATAGATTGGTTATAATCCCTTTAAATTATCTAATTTTTCCATAAAAAAACTGTTATTTTAAGAGTTAAATACATGTAATTATTTGACTATTTATTTATTGTTTCACATTTAATTTAGTTTTACTATTTATTCATACACTTAATAGTAAAAATGACACTTGCTATATATATATATATATTTTTACTTTGAATTATGATTCATATTATTAAGAGAAGAAACGAACAATACAAGCTGGAGCACTATCCCAAGATTGAAAACAAGCTCTACTAGGAACTGATTTAGCCAAGAGATGAGCTATATCATTTGCTTGTCTTCTAATCCAAACCAATATGACATTAGACAATTGGATTAAGAGTAGCTTACATTCAGAGATGACAACTCCAAATTCAGACCAATCGTGGACAGAACTCCTCATAGCACGATAAACTTGCAGGCAATCGGTCTCAACTTGAATCTTCAGATTAGGGTGGCTCGACAGCACTCAGGATAATACCTTTCTTAGCGCTTGAGCTTTTGCTACTGCTGGAGAAGAACAGCCTTGCAATGAAGACGTTGCTGCTGATACAAACCTGCCATGACAATTTAAGATTACAGCACCAAGAGTTCCATAGCCGACAGAGGGGAGAAGAGCTGCATCAAAATTTATTTTAAAAGTGCTAGTAGGTGGCAGAAACCATTGACTACCTGCAGGAACTCTTACGCCTGTATCTGAACCTGACAACTTCAGTTGGGCTTTCTTCCAAGATGCGAGCATGCTTCTAGTTCAAGTAACCACATAATAAGGTCCTTCTTCCACTTGGTTCCATATTAGTTCATTACGGCTCAACCAAACACTCCATAGTCCCATAATAAAACTCTCAAAAAATTCGCTCTCCCACACCTTGTGTAAATGTTCGAACATCTGTAAGAAATTTGGAAAATTGCCAATATTTAGTTGAACACCAAAAAACTGCCAACAAAATTTTGCTCTTGGACACTCACAAGAGCATGGGCTAACGTTTCAGCAGCACCACAGTAATCGCATCCAGTATCAAGCTCCATTCCCCTTCTTTCCAAAGTTGTTTTAGCTGGCAGAATGTCTCGGCAACACCTTTAGAGGAAATGCCTTACTTTCGGCGGAATTTTCAGAGACCAAAGAGCTTTCTAGAAACCTGACCGCCAATCATCTTCAATATTCACATATTCTGATGCTACTATTTTGTATCCAGATTTCACAGAATATATCCCTGAGTTTGTCCAATGCCATATAAGGGTGTCTTCCTGAATATTTGTGGCTAAAGGAATAGAAGTGATAATTTCAGCAATTGAAGGATTGAAAAGACCATGTATCAGAGGCAAATTCCAAGCACGTTCCCCTTGTGCCAAAATAAGGTCTGAAACCCTTATGTGCTCAAAACCAGGAAGAATAAGCAAGTTAACTCGAAACTGGTTATCTCTCAATAGCCACGGTTCGGTCCAGACATTTACTAACTGGCCATCTCCAACTCTCCATCGAAAACCTGAACAAATAGCATCCTTAGCTGCACAAATCCCTCTTCATACAAAACTTGGATTACGGCCAACGCTTGCACCAAGAAAATTCCCACTTGGAAAATATTTAGATTTGAAAGAACTATAAAAGAGAGAATTGTATTATGTAAAAGTCTCCAACAGTGCTTTCCTAACATGACTAGAATGAAACTTCTCAAATGTCTGAAACCCAAACCTCCTTCTTCCCTCGCCACACATAGCCTTTCCTAACTCAACCATCTCATCTTTCCTCATAGATGTTTAAATTGTTTAACAGGGCTAAAACTCATATTTACCAAATAAGGGGATGAAATTAGTAATTATGATTAAACTTATGGACTAAATCGTTATTTACATTTTTTTCCTCTCTCGATAAGTCCGAGTCTGTTGGATCAGACCATTAGTTGGGCTAAAAACTCCTAACTTTTGAAGAGTTGGGCCAACGAGTTTGTGGCTTTCCGCCTTCGCCTGCTTCACCACTAGGATTAAAATAATATATATCGGTACAAAGCAAAGTACTTTTAAGAAACTGATAATTAAAAATTAATTGTAATTTAATTTATTTGATAAGACATTTTCCTATAAATAGAGTTTTCTTGTAAATTGGTATTTCACCCACTTGGTATAAGTGGCACATTGTCCTTTGTTTTCAAAATAGAAAGAAATGAAATTTCCTACAATACCATTTCTGCTTTATGCATTTAACATACAATAATCTAAAATTAGTTTTTCATATTAAATATCACCAATAAATAAAAATTATCTCATAAAAATAAATCAATAATACAAAATGAAATTGGAATTTGATATATTATTTTTCCATATCAGAATATATAATAGTGATGGTGGGAGATCGAATATTTCCAATGTATTAGTTAGCCCTACGTATATGCAATGCTTGAATTTTTTTTTACAAATAAAGAAAAATTTCAAAAATTATCCTATTTTCAAAATTAACTTTTTATCTAAAAATATTAATCATTAAAATTTATGATTGAATAATTTATTTAAAAAAAAACTACTATGAGGAACAAAAATACAGAATATCACATTATCCACCTCTTCCTAATCCTAATTATTTAGCAAAATAAAATTATTTTTAAAAGCTAATTGAAATATATCGCATTTGGTGCACGTGGCATTCTGTTACTGGTCTATTTGAAATGCCTAAAAGAGGCAGTCAATTAAAACTTTACACTGCAACTAATTGACAAAAGATTAGAGAGGAAATAGATGGAGGAACATGATTTTGACACCTGTCATGTTTTTTTTAAGTAAAAACAAACCACGGGAAGAACACGCGCCTCGTCATTTGAATGTCGTTACGGTCTCATCCCAGGATTCCTCTTTCCTCTCAAATCTCCATTACCGTAGACTAAAATGACCGTTAACTCCTCATTTTTACACACGACAAAACCATAAAACTTCTAATGGGGCATTCCTCCAATAATGATGATAATGACTTGATCCAATGATGATGAAAGTTTTTGGCACACAACACAAATATATCTTGTGTTATTTCTAGGCAAAATATGAATTTGAAATGTTAAACAATTGAAAACAGTAATTATTTTGATATCTCATTAATATCTTATGCACAAAAAATCATGTTAATGGTTCATATAAACTGCATTGGACTGGATTGTCGTTCATCTACACTCAATTATGAAAATTTTTAATATAAGCTTTGTGCTTGTCCTAATTGTTATTCTATTGTTCCACTTTATCTTTTCACGATAATTAAAAAAATTTTAAATAAATAGATTTTCTAAAAATACATATTAAAATATTTAAATTGTAGTTCTTAAAATTAAAAACTCTATTTAATTTTATTATAAAATTAATGCTGATTCTATCTCATATTAAAGCTGTACCATTAAAAAATACTTTCATTTCATTTTTTCATTTCTTATACAATGAAAAATATTTGGTTATATATGTAGTTAAAATTTTAATTTAATTACAATTAAAGTAATGATAAAAAATATAAACATAAAAATAAATTACACCTGGATAAAATTGTCATTAATATATCCTCGGTATCTTAAATAAGGAATAAAATAAAATACTATTTTATTGTTGTTAAAGTGAAATGGGAAGATTATATAAATTTAGTTTATGTTTATTCTAATTTTGTAATATATCCATAGTCCAAGTCATTCAACAGCTAGGATTAGCGTACAAGGGCAAAAGCGTAACTGTGAAATTCCAATGTGAAAGTTCAGAAAACTCACAACCACAAGGTGAAATTATACTAACCACGTTAGATTGTCGACTCAATTGCGAATTTGCGAGGGATATTTTTGCCAATTCAATTATTATAGGTAGGTATTTTATGTAGTTTCTTAGAACTTTAAGGGTATTTTAGAATCACAAACCATATAAATCCGAATAGCTTCCCCTTTTCTCATTTCTCTCTTCCCTCCTCGTCCATTTTATCGTTTGCCTCTCTCTTTCATTCTTCTCTTGCTTCCTCTTCCCCTGTAACTCCGGTATCGTCGGTGAGGTGGCTTAAAAAATTTTCTGTTTGTATCATTGATCCGCCAGTAACAGTATTCCGGCCACCGTCTAGTCCTATCTGATTATTTCCGATTGAAATCTCTGCCGGAGCGCCTTTCTTCCCTTTCTGTCTATAGTTTTCCTTATTTTATTTTGGATTTTGTAATTTGCAGATGTTGTGTGCACTTTTACGTTTTTAACCTTTCACTTGGCGGTTTTTACCATTTACTATAACAAGCTATTCTGTCTTTCTGCGTCTCTCTCTCTCTCTCTTTCTCTCTCTTGCCCTGTAAGACGTTTAGCTCACTTCTCGAGAAAAATGATTTGACGTTTTTGCCCAAAGTCAAATTATTCATTTGACGCTTTTGTCCAACAAGTAACTGTGGTTTAACGGTTTTACCTCTTTAGGGTTTTCATTTTGCCCTCAACGTGGCATGTTTTAACCGCAAGCATGAGCTATCACCCTCGTAGGATTTTGACACCTGGCGCTTCCAGGAAGCGCAAAGAGAGAGAGACATTTTATCCATTTAAGCCGTTCAATTCGGCTCAGCTCGGGGGTAAGCCAGCTTTAAAAGCTGAAAAGTCCGTTTCTTCTAATCGGTTGCTCGCCGGATACATGGCATATGAATATTTGACAAAAGGCACCTTATTCGGTCAAAAATTCGACCCCGCTCGAGCCGAGGCTGTACCTTTAGCCGGCGGCGGCTCAGCGGAGTGGAAGAAGAGAGGAATGAAGCCGCCGGAAGTGCAGCCAGGGTGGAGAAAAGAGCACCAGAGTTACGCTGAGGTGGCAAGCATATTGAAGACGGATGGGGCCCACATACCGGGAATAGTTAATCCTACTCAACTAGCTAAGTGGATCCAGATGTGAGAGGTGTTGTAGTGTACGTGGCGGTGCCTCATTGGAAAATTGGGTTCCGGTTCCAGGATGGAATTCGTGGGTGGTCAAGTGCATGATTATTCCTGGCATTCGAGGTGGTGAGTCCGTTTCCATAACCAAAAATGAGGATGAAGGCCATTGTTCTCTGTTTCTGAAAAAAACTAACTTTGCTTTCTTTCTTTTAGAACCTTACATGTGGAAGCATTGTTGACTTGGGTTGACCTCTTTGGTTGATACTGTTGTTCATCAACTTCTTGAATCTTGATTAATACAGTGTTAACTGTTTGTTCATGTTGTTAATTAGTTTTTGATATGTTTGCTTATTAGTTTACTTGTCTGCGCGTAGCTAATATCTGGTCGACGGGATATTTTGGGTGACATTGTTAATTAGTTTGCTTTAGAAACTGAAATGCTTATTATGTGATATCAAGTGAGTTCTAGAAGTTGGTCGACGGGTCATTCTGGGTGACATTAGGATCATGATAATTGCATGCATGCATGCTAGTATTGTATTCTGGAGTTTTTCTTTGTATATGCTGAGGTATAATTAATCTGGATTTTTGCAAATAAGTACCTTAATTAAGAATAAGGAATGCATATGGTTAACTAAGACAAGGTTAATTAACTATTTAGTTCTTGACATTTTACTAATTTATTTCTACTATTTGGTAAAAGTATTGATTCGTTCTAAAGTTTAATCATATTTAAATTATTTAGTCTATGTTCTAACAAGACATTTTTAGCCATCAAATACGAACTCATGAAAGTTGTAAGACTAAATAGTAACACTATATTAAACATGAAGGATCAAATGGTTATGGACAAAAAAATAAAATAGTCTAACAGAGCGAAATTTTATGAAGAATTCATGATCAAATAATAGGAATAAATTAGTAAGTTTCAATTAAACTTCAAAGAGTAAGACTTTATTCGTTAAAATTAGTTGTTCAAATAGCTATCAACTATATTTGATGAGAGTAATGTTTCATAATCTGATCGGTCAAAAGCTCTAAACATTAATAGAAAGCTATTGCTACCCAGTATAGTGGCAGTGTTCGACTAAGGCAAGGGAAACTGATTTTTTTGGTTAGAGCCAACTACACGAATATATAGACAAAAGATAGAAGTTTCCTTGAGCTTTCTTCTCTTCCTCCTTTTGGGGTTTTATATTATTACTTTTGTCATCTGGAATAAGAAATTTGAAGCTTAAGCAGGAAGGTTCAATACATTTTGGTGAAAATGGAATAAGAAGCAGCTGGAAAGTCCGATTTGGTACGAATTTCCTCGTATTGATTCAGTAACAAAGACAAAAATTAGAAGTTTCCTTCGTAATTAGAAAAATTCATTTTTCCATCCTATGATCATGAAGGTTTAGCATTCGTTGTCCCTACTTTATGTCCAGCACTTCAACTTAATTTGTTTCTGAGCTAATAATTAATTAGCAACAACGATGGTTGACCAAAGACGTTGTTTAAGCATCTTTCTGCTGACTAATCCATGCTTATTTTTCTTTTAATTATTCTGGACAGAATGACTCCCAACCACACCCACTTGTCAGTGTTCCATTGAAACATGATATTTATTCTATGATTTATGAACATAATAATTAGCGTCTTTTAAAAAAAAAAAAAAAAAAAGAAAAATCTCAGTCATTTGGAAGGCACTCCCTTTATATGATAGAATTTTATATAATAAAACCTTGGGTCAATTCATTTTAGTAAAATCCCTAATGTTTGGTAAAATCATTGAATTGCCTTTGAAATTTAATTTCATTAAAATGATTAGTTGTTTTATTCAAAAAATGTCATTTTTACTGTTAAATAATATTTAATTATTTGATCATTTACACCAAAATTAAGACAAGATGAAGCATAATATATCCTTCACATAATTATTATATCAAAACACTTCACAAATCTTGAAATTAAGTTACTGAATCATACGAAAATTATACTATCAATATGTAATTTGCTGTATCGCATAAACCACAACACAAAATTAAACTAATCTCAAGTACCAAAACAACATGAAGTCTCATGAAATTGGTGCTACTACCGAATTGTAGAGAATAATTTAATCTTTCAACTTTAATTTTAACAAAATATGTAGTACTAAGGCTTAATATGCAGAAAGAAATCCAAAAGGTCATTGCATTCTATGCCTGCTTGATTGCAGCTGTTCTCGCTTTCAGATTCAGAAAGATTGCCCTGAAATCACAGTATGCCGAGCATGCATCAGTACATAATTCTTACATAAATTAATTTTTGTCACTAAAATTAGCTGCATGCCCAGGTGTTTCGATTATTATAAGCATCATATAGATTCATTTCAAGGTTAGGATTAGGAAATAAATTGAAAACATGCAGGAATCCAATTCACACGCCGATACACTAAATAAAAACTGTCTAATATTCAAGCCAAGATGAATTTTAAATTCTTGTATGAAAACTTATCTGAAATAACAAAAGTTCATAAAAAGAAGCTGGGGCAACATGGTGGTTACCAGTTTCTGTTGTCTTTTTTTGCCCTTTTCAAAATTTTGATTAACTTAATTTTGAGTGTTCCATTATTTAATAGTTATGAATCAATCACATATGGACCTATGATGTAATATAAGCAATGCATGTTGAGCCAGAGTGCTGAGTTTGTAATAACATTTGCAGTAGAAAACATATTCATAAGTTATCATATTTCTCTATAACATAGATTTAGAAGGAAGTGTGGCGATTTAGGAAAGCTAGAGACTAGAGCTGAAAGATAGAGAATGTACCAGCATGAAGCAACAAAGCTTTGAAATAGAACTCGAAACTGCAATGGCATATACTGGTGATTCACCCAACCGACTATAGGCCAGAACTGCAAGTCATAAGCACCAAAATTTTAATACTGCAAATTTGAAAACCAATTTAATGTTATTGGGAAAAATGGAGAAAAAAGTATTAATAATAAGAAGAAAATAGTTTATATTACTGAACCTTCCATGCTGTCAATTGAACAGAGGGGTAGTCCTTCAGGACCTTACTCTTGACTAAGCCCCATGGTCTTCCTACAATAACAACAAAGAATTTCTGTATAGATAGCAGATTTTATAGATGGCAAAAAAAAAGAAAAAAAAGTTGGCTTATCTGTTTTACCATCATAATTTTTTTCACTCAGCATTTTATCTGAGGAAACATTAAAACAATCTAGCGATGACATGGCCAAAAGCAGACAAGCATACATCACTTACTTTCTGGTCCAGTGATTGTGATTTTGTGACAAAGATATTTATATCTTTTCTGGCATGAATTCAATAAAAAATGCTCCAACTGTCCACATCAAGATGACATGCACATTAAGATATTTATATCTTTTCTGGCATGAATTCAATAAAAAATGCTCCAACTGTCCACATCAAGATGACATGCACATTAAGATATTTATATCTTTTCTGGCATGAATTCAATAAAAAATGCTCCAACTGTCCACATCAAGATGACATGCACATTAAGATATTTATATCTTTTCTGGCATGAATTCAATAAAAAATGCTCCAACTGTCCACATCAAGATGACATGCACATTAAGATATTTATATCTTTTCTGGCATGAATTCAATAAAAAATGCTCCAACTGTCCACATCAAGATGATAAACTCTGTATGGATAAAGAATTGCGGACACACATTAAAATCAATTGGAACAAGCTAGTAAGTAACTTGGAAATCGGGGGGGGGGGGGGGGTGAATTACGTAATAGATGGAAATACCTTCAATTACCAAGCCATAGTACATCATGAAAAGCATATTGTTCCAAGGAGAAGATGTTAATTGTTCCAACAACACCTAACAAGTTACCAAAAAGTAGACTTTCAATAATTAATTCTTAATCAAGAAGTCATTGGCAAGAAACTAAGAAAAGGAAAACAAAAACAATTTTCATGAACTCAAACTTGCTCAAGTTAGGCACAATTAAGGCACGTAAAAAAAGAATTTAACTCCAAACAGGAAACTTACCTTCTTTGCAACAGTTTTGTTGTCCTTTCCCTTGAAAATAATATCCATTAATTTATGAAGGAAGTGCCCAAAAGGTCCTCCATAAGCAAAGCCATATAGCTGCAAAAAAAAAAAAAGGTATTCATTTGTAGGAAAATAATCAAACTCGCAACACAAAAAGACAACTGCTATTAACTTCATTAATACAAAGGTACTTCTATCAATTAATTCTTCTTTTTTTTTTTTTTTTTTCCTTCATAATCAGATCCAACCTAGGTGACAATATGTCAAAATTTTTATTTACGAAAAAAAAAAGTCAACTTACCATCATAAGAAACAATCTTCTCAACTGAAGCCTTTTGATCCCAGAAATCCTCTGAGCAATTGCATCGCTACATCCAGCTAATACCCCAGATGTTATTGCCTGAGACACCCACAAAACAAAAATCAAACAAAGAAACAGACTTTAATTAAGGGTTAATCAAGAAAATAGGGGAAGCGATCAAGAAATAGAAAAGACCTTGGTTCTTAGAGGGTGGGCCTGAAGTTGAATCAGATATTTTCTCCATGCATCTTTAGCTATGTCAGACATGATGTGATCAGTTCCGTCCCTTGTATATTGGAGATACGAATTGGGTATGGGATATACACCAACAGAGAGAGAATTGACTGGGTAATAGTGTTTTCAGGAGAAATGGAAATAACGACAAGTGGAGGTTAGGCGGCGCATTTGCATATTGCAGAAAAGACTAAAGACCAACGACCTAACACTTTCAGTTTTGCATTTATTAACTTTCTCTGCTATCAATTCCCATTTCTGTATTGGCCAGGGTTGTTAAGCATATCTTGTTTCGTTTTGACTTGATTCTTTTCAAAAGTTTTATTTTATTTTATTTTGCTTTATTTATTTATTTACTTATCTCCCTTTTCTCAAACGGAAGAAACAATTGATTAAATTAGAAATAAAAACACTAAAAAAAAGAAATATAGTTTCCATTGAATTTACTTTGGTCAAAGTCCACTGAGTAAAGGTGAGCACTGAGCAGGGCCTAAAAGAACCCTTAACGTGGGCTAGATTGCACAAAAAGATTAGGGCCTTGACCCTTCCTGGGGGATAAAAAAAAAAAAAAAAAACTAATTACATATATTGTTATCATTTTTACACACATATGGAAAACTTATGAATTGCTATCTAGGCAAGGCAAGCATTTATTTTTTTCTTCTATGCATATATATTGCTAATTAATGTGCTTTGACTAAAAATAACTAGATTTAAAATGTACTGCTATAGAATAAAGCTATGTGAAATACACATAAAAATAAAAAAAATAGAATAGAATAATTCCAATAATATCATGCAAAATATATATTTGAATTTACATAGTTTTCTTTTAAGAAAAAGAAAAGTTGCATACATAGCTAATTTGAGGTACGATTGAACCTAAACTCCGGAACCTCAGCTCAACCTTAGAGTCGAGTTCAAGATAACTCAAAGGATAAACCACCTCTATTTGCATGTAAAAATAGAATTTCTATTTTTCTAAATTCTTTTACGATATTTGAGCATTGCCAATTGGCATACACTTCTTTATATATATGATTGCAAATTCCTTGGCAAAAATCTTCTCTAGTAGAAGAGGCAAAATCTTCTCCTTTGCTCGATCCTGTATAAAGGAAAATGCCAAAAATAAATAAATAAATAAATGAACGGAAAAAATTCATTTAAAATTAGATAATAAAATTTTAATCAAAAAAAAAAAAAAAAAAAAAAATCATTAAAATGGTAAGTGTGGTTATCTTACACGAAAATAATAGAACATGAAATAAAAATGGTGGATGAAACAAAAGTTAATGGGGTCAAGAATTACAATATTAAACATCGATATGCACTAACATTCAGACAATTAATAACATAAAAATTTACAAAAATTTCAAACAAAAACAAGAAAGAGAAATCAATAAGTATACAAAGAAAATCAAAATCATTTCTCTCTCTCAATTCATCAGAAATCTTTTTAAATAAAATCACAACAATATGTTAAATCAAACTCCTCATTCAAAGATATATCAATTTCAAACACCAGGCGGTTTTTCAGACGACTCTGATCCCTTAGTATTAGCACAATCCAATAAGACTTTATCAAACATATCAGTAGTGCAACGAATCTCTATTGGGCCATCAATCTTGGTATCAAGAACACCATCGTTAGCGACCCTGATCAATTCTTGAAACGCCGGGGTATTCAGATAATCAACCGGAACTTCATACCTTTTTGCACCGTCTTCCTGGCCGACGTACATGGCTATATGACCTCTTTTTACATTTTTATTCTTTGAAATTCGCTCGTAAGAATTGGTTAGGCCCATCGTCGTCCTTACAATTGAAGAGAATCTTGATGTTAATCTTTTGCTTTTCCTCTTCCTGATGGAACCTGAAAAACTTGGTTGCGGGGCTTGCATGGCTGCTGTTGATGTTTTATGCTTTGTAGTTGAGACTTGTCCTCCTTCAATTTATATAACAATAATAATAAAAACAAAAAGATAAAATTTATCTCATATTTTATATTATTTGAAGAGAAATTTTATCTCATATTTTATATTATTTTTATTATCTAAAAATATAATATGCACTCTGCCGTCAATTTGAGGAGGATTGCTTTCAACCAATAATCTCCAAGTAACTTTTAGATTATGTAACTAATTTTATTTTATTTTATTTAATTAGCACATTTTCTTTCTGTCAATTAAAAAGGAAGAAAAAATAATCAGTTTAATAACGACACACCGTTTTTTTGTAAACGACACGCAACCCAAATAATGAGCATGTTCACATTAAAATACACTAGAGAGTAAAACCTGTGACCTGTCACTGTTGTTGTACCTCAGAACACCCAAAAAATTAAATAAATGGGCCATTTGTTATTATTGGGTCTTATTGAAGTCCAATGATTCAGAGAATTTTTTTTTTTTTTTTTTTTTTTTTTTTTTTAGAAAAATTTTTTCAAGGGACAAATTTTATATATTTAGTCTCTGAAGTTTGATTCTAATTACTATTTAGTGTCTACCTTATGTGTTTGCTAATTTACTAAAAAACTATATATATATTAATTGATTTTTAAGATTTAGCTCTATTAATTTATTTAGTATTTCGTTAAAAAAAGTATATTTTAGCCGTTAAATATTAATAAAAATAATAAATATGAGACTGAATAGTAACACTATAGCATTATAACATTTATCAAAAAAAAAAAAAAAAGAATTAAGTAGTCTAATGAATTTAAATCTAAAAATAGATGAATTTATTTATTAGAAAAAATTAGAGATAAATAATATTAAAAAAGGGTGCTTTATCAAAAGAATGGCTTATTGTCAAGTGATGGTGGCTTTACAGGTTGTCCCAGATAAAAAAAGCTGCACAATTTGTTTCTTGTTTTTTTTTGTTGAAATTAGGAAAATAAAATTATAATAATGCGCACTTGATATTTAGTGTTCAAGAGTATGCAAATTCCGTTGACCCTTCTTGCTAATACTCCTTTTTTGGACACTAAAACTTAAAAATGATTACATCTTTTATGATCTTATTGTTGTAAAGTCTTTAATGGGTTCTTTAGTGTATTACATATTCTAATCATGGTATTATTGAACAAAACTTTTCTAAATAAATTTCTCATGACGTTATATACCCACATTCGGATCAAATTATTGGTTCAACCCTCTCAAATCATTGGCTGATACTATTACGACGATGGGTGTCTTAATCCTAGTATTATTTTATGGATTTTATTAATAATCAAATATAATTCGATTGATTTAAATAAAGAAAAACGTTTTTAATGAAATTATTGAGTTCAGGTCTTTTTATTATTAATCAAACAACTTAAGATGTAAATAATTGCATGCGAATTGTCAATGCGCTAATACTAAAATCATTATATGAATTAGGATTAGATTTGGTTCATTAAGCATATAAAAATGGAAAAAATAAAGAAAAAAAAAAAAAAAAAAGATCACTAGAGCTCAATTTGAGTAGTTGGGGATGTTAGGTTTTGAGAGGTTAGTGTATAGGTAGACCCACTAAAGATTAAAGAGCGGCCAAAGGAACTCTTTTATGGAGTATTTAGAATTTGTTCCTTGTTGAGCTCAATTGGTTTGAGTAGTGAGAGTCTCTTTCAATTCAATGTTTTATAAAAAGTCTCCACCATAAATCCATCGAGTGGTTGGCTTTGCCTTATTAGTCCAAACACAAATGCATTTCAATGTTCCCCACTTTGAGCTGAGGCTCAGATTAATTTTATTTTCCTACTTATCTCCAATTGGATTCAGGGTTGCTCAAGCATGGTGTGATGGTGGCTCGCAAGTCTCATTTTCAGAAGAAATCCTCAATCACTAGATTATGGTGCTAAAAGTGAAGTAAATCTTTCACAGAAAAGATGAGTATTACAAGTGTCAAGTAACAAGCATACGAGTCAACAGTGGGCTTGACGTGGGTTTTGATTGAACAATGAGTGTTTCCGTGATGGTTGGACATACGATATGTAGTTGAACAACAAATCGAATGAGCATTTTCTCTTGTGCCCTAAGAAAGTAAACCTGCAAATCTACAATAAGTTGCCAATTTTGTTTCAGTTATGATCATTGTCTTAATCCCCCAGTAACCATACACCGATACTAGTTTGAATATAATGATATATAGAAGAAATTGAGGTGTGAGGACTGCAGTTTTTTCTCACTTCCATTAAAGAATCTCGTATTTCTTTCATTAATGTCTTGTCTCGTTTTGCTGTAACAACTTTTAAGACGGTGTTTAACGTTTTAAATAATTTATATTATTTTATAGCATATCATATATATATTAGTATTCAAAGATTGAGGGTGGATTATAATGACAACAAATTAGTAAATTATAGTTCAGGTTTCTCAGTTGAAACTCATCATTTGAAATTTGAAGAACCTCTTTTAGGTATTAGATTTTGACCTTTTGATAATATATTCAGGATTTATGCGCGCTTTGACGTTCAATTAATATCGCTAAACATGGCGTAATTAATATATATTAACAATTTTATTTATTCATTGGTAGTTTAGTTGCGTGTCTATAAAATATAATATATTAGAAATAATTTCATTCGATAAGGTGGCGTGTAATGCACAATGGCAAAGAGGTTGTCACGAAGTTGGGATTGTATTAGTATAGGCAAATTTAATTAATGCGCATCAACAATTAATTAAAAATTCCATTAACAAATAGATGGTTACCTAATTAATTAACATAGATAAATTAATCACGTTCACTATACATCTGGCTGTCAGGCTGAGCCACAGAAGCAATTTGACTCCCACTCACCAATTCATAAATGTCCATATTTGCTGTCTTTCATATATATGTACAGAAGAAGAGGAGAAAACAGAAAATCTTTTTACTATAACCATTTAAGGATTAAAGTGAAGTACAAAAGGTTAAGCGATGGAGCAGGAAAAGAGATCAACGCATTACCATTTTGTTATATATATATATATATATTTGTAGTGGGATAGGCTATGCCTATGCTATGCATGCCCTTTCTCCCCCTTGGTTGAAAGAAAGTACACCTGAATGGAAAGATGACCTAGACTTATATATATACATATACTCCTCCCTGTAGTGGAAAGTCACGACTCACGAGCATTAATTTAATTGCAATTTAGATTGGGTAAGGTGTTAAATGCTTAAATAATGCATAATTTTTTTATGTGAATATTAATGATATATATTTTTTGGAAAATAAATTTAATTTTATTAGAACTATAATAACCAAAAAAAATTTAAATTATCCAAGCACAATATATAATAGTAAAAAAAAAAAAAAAAAAAA